ATCTAAGGGCAAATATGGAATGGAATAACATATTCAAAATAATACAAGAAAAAAGAAGCCAGTCAAGAGTACGCTATCCTTCATGTTTTCTTTCATGTGTGATAAAAAGATAAGGACCTTCTCAGACAAAGAAAATCTTAGGGGGTTAGCATCTAATAACCCTCCCCCTTCCCCCAAGAAATATTCAGTCTTAGGCTCTAAAGCTGAGAGTGGAACAGACAAAAAAAAAATGAATAAGGAATTAAATAGAACCACAAAGCTAGGAACAAAATGGCAGTGATAACATTTACATGTCAATAATCATTTTAAATGTTAATGGCCTGAACTCACCAATAAAAAGACACAGAGCATATGATTGGATGAGGAAGCAGAATCCAACCTTCTGCTGCCTCGGAAACACATCTAAGTACAAAGGATAAAAACAGACTGAAAGTACATGGATGGATAACAATTCTATAGCCAAATGTCACCCAAAGGAAGATAGGAACAGTCATACTTATTCAGACAAAATAGACTCTAGTTTAAAAAAGAAACAAGAGACAGGGATGGGCACTGCATAATGATCAAGAGAACAATACACAGAAGACAAAACACTCATCAGTATATGCCCACCAAACAAAGGAGCGAGCACCAAAATACATCAGGAAACTATCAAATTTGAAAACAGTCATTGAAAACAAATATGCTGTTGGAGACTTCAATAGCCCATGCTCACAAATAGATAAATGAGAAAGCAAATTAGACAAAGTTGCCCTAAACAAAGAACTACACATGGATTTAACAGATATTTAAAGGGATTTAAAGGGCACTAAACTCCTCCCCGCCCCCCACCAAAAGCAAAATACACATTTTTTGAATTGTACATGGGTCATTCTCCATGATTGACCAATACTGGGTCACAAGACAAACATTCACAAATTCAGGAATATAGAAATCATACCAAGTATCTTCTCTGACCATAAAGGTAATCAACTACAAAAAGAAAATAAGGAAAAACTTTAATACATAGAGACCACAATACACTATTAAGGAAGGGTTAGTAAGGAAATCAAAAAAGAAATAAAAAAATACCTTGAGGCAAATGGAAATATGGACACAACCTTTCAGAATGTATGGCACACAGCAAAAGCAATACATGCCAATAAGAAACGAGAAGGAGCTTAAATAAACAACCTTGTCTCTCATCTTAAGGAATGAGGAAAAAAAAAAAAGAAAAAAAAATGGCCAGTAGAAGGAAGGAAATAGGGCCTCCTCAGTGGCGCAGCAGTTGAGCGCTGGGTTGCGAAGCTGCCTGCAGCCTCCGCGGCGCCAGTTCAATCCCCGGCTGCTCCCCGGCCACCAGAGGAGGGTCCCACATGGCGCGCAGACCTCTCCTGCCGCCCGCTGCTCCCCTCAGCAGTGTACTTTGGTCTTTCTGCCTGCTCTGCTCCCCGCTCTGGCTCTGGTGAATTCTCTCACCCTCCCGCACTTCTGACTGTACCCAGTGCATGTATAAACAAACAAACAAACAAATAAATAAATAAAACATGCCTCTTTAAAAAAAAAAAAAAAGGAAGGAAATAATAAAAATTAGAACAGAAATAAATGAAACAGAAATCAAAAAGATAGTCCAAAAGATCAATGAAACCAAAAACTGGTTCTTTGAAAAATAAACAAAATAGATAACCATTTAGCTAGGCTCACTAAGGGGGGAGAAAACTCAAATACGCTCTAGAATGAAAGAGGAGAAATTAAAACAGACATTGGACATTCAGAGAGTAACAAAGGATTACTTTAAACATTTATATGCAGAAAAATTCAACAACAAAATGGACAGATTCTTAGAATTACACATGTGTCCACCTTGAACAAACTAATCACAAGCAAGGAAACTGAAACAGTAATCAAAACTCTCTGCCCCCAAAAGTCCAGGAGCAGAAGACTTCACAAGTGAGTTCTACCAAACCTTCAAAGACAAACTAATATCTATCCTGTTCAAAGTCTAGAAATCAAGAGAGAAGCAATTCCTCCAAATACATTTTATGAGGCCAACATTACACTAATACCAAAACCAAACAGAGACAACACAAAGAAAGAAAACTACAGCCCGATCTCCCTAATGAATACACAAAAATACTCAATAAAACCTTAGCAAACTGAATACAACAATGCATTAAAAAGATTACACATTATAACTAAGTGGTACTTATACCAGGAACACAAGGATAGTTCAATATCTGAAAATCAATCAATATATTACACCATATCAACAAAAAGAAAAAAATCACATGATCATATCATTAGATGCTGAGAAAGCATTTGATAAGATTCATTATCTATAATGAAAACCCTTGAAAAACTAGGGGTAAATGGAATATCTTAACATAACAAATCCAGAGCTAGTATCAATCTCAATAGTGAAAAACTGGAAGCCTTTTCACTAAGATCGGGTACAAAACAAGGATGTCCACTCTCACTAATACTATTCAACATAGTATTTTTTTTTTTTTTTTTTTTTATAGAGGCATGTTTTATTCACTCATTTATTTGTTTGTTTGTTTGTTTGCTTGTTTACACATGCACTGGGTACAGTCAGAAGCGCGGGAGGGTGAGAGAATTCACCAGAGCAGAGCGAGGAGCAGAGCAGGCAGAAGCGAAGTACACTGCTGAGGGAGCAGCGGGCGGCAGGAGAGGTCTGCACCATGTGGGACCCTCCTCTGGTGGCTGGGGAGCAGCCGGGGATTGAACCGGCACTGCAGAGGCCGCGGGCAGCTTCGCAACCCAGCGCTCAACCGCTGCGCCACCAGGGAAGCCCTATCAACATAGTATTAAGAGTACTAGCTAGAAAAATTAGGCAAGAGGAGCAATAAAAGGAATACAAATTGGAAAATAAGTAAAGCTATCATTATTTGCAGGTGATACAATATACAAAGATAACACTCAGAGACCCAATGGAAAAACTATTTGAAATAATAAACCAGTTCATCATAGTGGCAGGATACAAAATCAACAAGCAAAAATCAGTTGCCATCCTATGTGTAAATAACAAACTAGCAGAGGAAATTAAGAAAGCCATCACATTTACTATCTCACCAAAAATAAATTAAATACCTGGGCATAAACCTAACAAATGACATGAAGGACTATTACAATGAAACACTGTTAAAATAAATAAGACAGAAAGAAATGGAAAGATACCTTCCTCATGGATGGGAAGAATCAACATTGTCAATTCCATTTTTTCCAAAACAATGTACAGATTCAATGTAATCACAAAAATCCCAACCATTTCTTCACACACACACACACACACACACACACACACACACACACACACACATCCTAATAGGCAAAGCTCTCCTGATTAAAATAGTGAAAAATGGAGGTTTCACATTTCTGGAATTCAAACTATACTATAAAGCTATAATAATCAAAATAGCATGGGACTGTAACAAAAACAGACATACAGACCTGTGGACTAGAATTTAAAACCCAGAAATAAATCCACACATTATGGAAAACTAATATATGAGGTGCAAAGTATACACACTGAAACAAGGAAAGTCTCTTCAATAAATGGTGCTGGGGAAATTGGACTGCCACATGCAAACGAATGTGAGGTAGGTGACTAACTCACATCACACACAAAAATTAAGTCAATGGGCAAAAAACTTTGATGTGAAACCTGAGACCATAAAATACATAGAAGAAAACATAGGCAAACACTCATCTCCAGCAGCAGGGAAAATAAAGGGGCAAATAAGCAAACAGGGCTATATCAAACTAAAAAATTTCTGTACAGCAAGACAGTGACCAAAACAAAAAGACACACTACTGAATGGGAGAAAATATTTCCACATCATACATCTGATAAGGGATTGCTATTGAAGATCTACAAAGCACTTACACAACTCAACAAAAAGAAAACCCATTAAAAAAAATGGGCAGAAAAGCTAAATAGGCATTTCTACAATGAAGACTTGTAGTTGACCAACATACATATGGAAAAAAATATGTTCATCACCACTTACTGTTATGGAAATGCATATCAAAACAAGATATCATGTCACACCTATGAGAATGGCCCATATCAACAAAACTGCAAACAAGTGCTGGCAAGGGTGCGACAAAAAAGGAACCCTCTCGCATTATTAGTGGGAATGTAGACAGGTCCATCCCTTCTAGAAAGAAGTGTGGCAATTCCTCAAAGTACTAAAAATAGATTTATCATATGACCCAGCAATTCCACTCCTAGGTATCTACCCAAAGACACAAAAATACTCATTCACAAAGAAACCTACATGCTTATGTTTATTGCAGCACTATTTATAAAGCCAAGATATGAAAACAACCTAAATGCCCAGAACAGATAAGTAGGTCTAGAAGATGTGGTACATGTACACAATGGAATACTACTCAGTGATCAAAAATTATAAACTCATGCCATTTGTGACAACATGGATGGAGCTGGAAGGGATTATTCTAAGTAATATTGGATGGCTCACTTATATGTGGAATCTAGAGAAGCCAAACAAAAGATCAGACAAAGACAAGTTGTAAGACTGATCCTCGAAAAGAGAATACAGATCTGAGACACTCAGGAGGGGTAGGGGTGGAAAAGGAGAAAGTAGAGAAAGCTTGGTACAGGGTGGTACAGGATTGTGGGCATTTTGGTGGTGGGAAATCTATGGTGACCACACCTGGAGGGAAAAAGCTATAATGTGAAAAAATGAACAAGAATGTTGAAAACTTTAACACACACACACAAAGAAGTAAATATGATGCAGATTATCTTTCATCATATTTATACAATATTAATAAACTGTTACCTATATCTTAGATTGTAATCAATAGCATACAAGCTTAAAAGTCTTTTATTGTTCACATAAGTTTCTCTAAAGTTTTTGGTTATATCTGTTTGTCTATTTGAATAAAAAGGGGCCCATAAATTAAAATAAAGTATAAAATACAGATTTAACATATTAAAAATAACTAAATATAAATATTAATTTAAATGACAAGGAAGTATAATTAAGGACAATGAAAATATAATGGTAATGAAGGTGGGGAGAAAATATAAAACCAAATCATCAGGTACCCAGGTGTGTTTTTCCCTACACAAAATAACACAAGTATTACAATTCATAAAACAAACATCCACAGGCACATTCAGGCATCACCTGATGTGATACTCTCTAAAGCATTTGGCATGGACTCCCTTCTGGCACTTCTCACAGCGGGTATTGGTCTGTGAGTGGCAGAGGGCACACCGGGTCCTCTTTTCCTGGTGGATGATCCAGTGTCCAATCATATCAAAACGGCTCTCAGTTTCCAGGCGCCTGCTTCGCCTCCCTTGGGATGATGTGTCCGCATTGCTCTCCAGGTACACACAGGCGACATATCTCCGGAAGGCCAGCAGGTCCACCTGGGCATCATGGGAACAGATCCGATGCAGCTGCCATGCATTGTTGAGGGCGGCATCAATGACATAGCCAATGAAGCTTGAGTACCACTTCATGCCCCGGATCTTCACCTTGTACTTGGCGATATTCTGGTCCATCCGACCAACACCTCCTACCTTCTCCTGGTACAACCTCACCAGAGATGGCTGATGGACCTGGGTCCGTGTTTTGGCTGCTCCTGAGTGATGGCTGGTCAGCCCCACAGGCTCTATGCCCACAGCATTAGAGCAGATGTTGACCACACTGCTATCATGCCAGCGACACACAATAATCTCATCACACTCATCAACTTTGTAATCAAATGTTCCCTTCTTCATTTTCTTCAGTTCTTTGGGATCTTTAAGGGGGCAATGCTCAGTCCTATACTCACGAACAGTTCCTGTGGCCTTTATCCCCTTTTTCCTCAAAATGGACATCAGTTTGAAACTTGTAAAAACCTTGTCAAAAAATATGTGGTATGGCAGACAGCCACGCTCCTGAAGCGCATCAACAAACTTCACCACCATACTGCCTCCTAGATCCAAGCCCTTGTCTGGTTTGGTGAACAATGTGCCTTGTGAAGGCTCAAACCACACTAAATAGCCAGTGCTGGTGGTCCCACACCAGATCTTGTAGCCGAGGCACATGGGCTTCCCCATACGCAGTTGCTTGGAACCCCGATGGCCAAAGTATTCACACATGGACTCACCAAAGCTGTAGAACTCTTCTAAGGGAGCGTGCTTCTGGAAATTGCAGTTCATTCGGACAATGAGAGGCCTGACCTTGGCAAACCTATCACTTTCATCCAGCTCATTGTTATCTGCGAAATGCAGGTATGAGAAGATCAGTTCAAATCTGTCCCTTCTAATTGCATCAGCCACAAGATGATGATGTGAATCAGGAGATGTTTCCCAAAACATCCTTCTTCTTGGATAAGAGATATACCCACTTAAAATCAAAATACCCAAGACACACTTCAGTTCCTGGATGGTGAGACCCAGGTTGACATTTTTCTGCCAAGCATATCTATTGGTTTCATTAACGATGAAATTAATTGTTCCTTCATCAAAAAACAATTCAAAGAGGCCTACAGGACTCAGCTCCTGACTTTTGAGATCCTCCATGTGAGGATCTGATGCTGTCCAACTGCTGAAGTCTGGCTGGATATCTCTTTTGGTCCAGACACGCTGAGGTTCAACTATTGCCTTCAGTCTCTTTGTGGCTGGCTGTAGCTGCAGGTCAACCTCATCTTTCCCAGGGCTGGGATCCTCAGGCACAACCGAGGCATGCAGCATACTGCCAGGCAGGTGGGCATCTTGCCAGCCATCTTCATCACCTGAATCCTCGTCAGTGAAGTCCCCTGAAGCATTATCAGGTGGGGCAATGAAGATCTCCTCTTTGCTGTAGCCACATTCCTCCTCCAGAGCATTCAGAATCTCAAGCAGCTTCTTGGATTTCAACTTTAAACCGGTACCACTCCCAGAAGTAAGTCCACTGCAACAACAGGAAACAGAAGAGGGAGCCATTCAGGAGAGCCAGTGCTTCAGCAAAAAAAAAAAAAAAAAAAGGTTAAAGCACCACTCCAGAGGAGAACACTGCATAGCATCTAACCTTGAATGGTATCTCAGACCTGACACCATCAGGCACAGTGCCAGATAAGTGAGTTTTCCAGAAGTTTATATTTGAGGGAAGGCATGCTAAAGAGAAACTGGGTATTTCTTGTCCTTCTAAAATAAAGTATTTAGGATAGAGAGTGAATCTAAGGGCAACAGTCATTCAGTGGCCCTCATTCAATGGCCCCAGCATCTCTGCCTTCATACTTCTGTTTTACCCATTCCTTCTCTTTCTCTTATTCATTTGGCAATATAAATTTCCTCACATCCCAAAGTTTCGAAATCTCCCTATCTGAACTCTCATTTTTCAAATTCAGGGCCTATATGGATGTTCAGGTGGTTTTCTTGATATATGACATCTTTCTGCTACTCAAACTATCATTGGTGGCCATGGGAACAAAAGGGTGGTAAGAGGTTCTTGTTTTAATGAGTGCTGACCATGAGCAGGCACTTCCCAGGCATTGACATGGGGTTTCTCTATTCCACACTTGCACAGCACTTACTCTAAGTGTACACAGACCACAAGTCAACAACAAACAGCTATGCAGGATGCTATTAGGTGGGGACGAAGGCCATCCTTTATTCTGGATAAGGGATGGAGAGGGCAGTAAAGGAGTAGGACTAGGGGTACTATTGTAGACAGAAAATGGTGAGGTTCACAGGGCCGATGGTCTAGGAAAGATGAGGGAGTGGGTTCTACAGATAGAAACAGGGTGTTCCAGGTAGAGAGAGTGAGGTGAGGAGAAGAGAGCAAAACAGGTGGCCAGAACATATTTAGTGGCTAAGAGACTCTGGTCAGAATGCCTGACTATATACAGCCATCACAGGGGATGGAAGAGCAGTGAGGAATTGGAAACATCACTCTGTCTATGAGAATGGAATGGTCTGCCAAGATGGGTACTGCTGCTGGCCTGTGCCCTTTTCAGGCTTTGACCTCTATGTGAAAACAGCCCCACTCTTGGGGGAGGGGGGATACAGATGTTACCTCTCTGAAGACTTTGGAGTTTAGATGCATTAAAGGTTCACTTTAACCTCACTTCCCAGGCACTGACTACACTAGCTTCCATGCTGGAGGATGAGGTACAGGTCTGACCTCTGAAGAAGTGAGGAATTCAACAAGCTCTTAGTAGACCAGAAAAAGAGATCAGCCATGGTAGTCAAACTGAGCGAAGTTCTCAGCAACCATCTTCATACCTCTCTTTCCCTGACCTCACCAGGTTACTAGCAGCAGATCCAGACATGGCCAGCTGGGGTTTCTACACAGTCTCACCACCAGAGCTGCAGTTGGCTCCCAGGTCCTAACCATCTTCTGCACATGGCATTCAAAACCTGGTGTAGGAAAGAAATCCTGCAGGGACTGTAGCAGCCCTGAGGCCAGCTGTCTTTAAGTCTTAAAAGATGAGCAATGTAAATGATATTTTGAGATCAAGTGTAGATAGATACTGGTACAATATCATCAGACCACTACCACACACATCCTGGTATCTTTTCTGTAATCTTGTCCCTATCTCTTAACTTCTTCTCATTTTTGCTTCTTAAACATCAAGTGGTTAATGAAGCCAGGAGGAATAAAGGCCTAAATTGTCATAGACTTGGCCATTTAAAATTAGAAGAATAAAAGCTTATGTAATTGTTACTAGAACCCGGCTGCCTCAGTGCTGGGAGTCGGCAGGAGCAGTGCTGTTCTTTCACCCTGCTGCTCCAACACAAGTCAGTTGTGGCATTTACTCCTCAGAGACCTTTTAAGTAACAGTATACTTCCTGGATCATGGAATGGGCCAATCAAATGCAATTATGAGCTGATTGGTTCTAAATTGGTTCTTAGTCCCATCAGCCACAGGATTGAAAAATGGTCCAATCAGACTTTTGTTACCAGGACCCAGCCTCCTCAGCAGCAGGAGCTTGCAGGAGCAGTGGTATTCTTTCACCTTGCTGCTCTACCACAAGTCTGCTGTGGCAGTTACTCCTCAGAGACCTTTTAACAGTATACTTCCTGGATCATGAAATGGACCGATCAGGTGCTATGAGCTGATTGATAAAGGGCCCAATAAGCCACAGGATTGAAAATTGGTCCAATAAGACTTGTGGGTAGGACACCCTGAAACAGGATATAAGCCAGGGTTGGAGGAGCTGAGGGGAGAGACAACGCCAGCCTCCTAAGGAAGAAGAAAGAAGAGGAAGACTCGTTCCTGACCTCCAAAGAAAGAAGAAAGAAGGATCCAGGAGCTGACCTTCGAGAAGGGAAGAGAAGGCGAAGGACTCTGTCAGAGACTGGGCCTTCACTCCTGTCCTAACATTGCCTGACAGGAGCACCAAAGGCCTGGGCTGGTGTCTGAAAGAGCTGTTTGTCGTTGGTATAACCCCACAACTCACAAAGAGCTATTAACACTTGGTGTCTCTGACACCACCTCTGTGGGATCAGTAGTGGCCATCACCACTGGCTAGTGTTGTCCAGCATTCCTGGTCACTGGTGCAACCATCACTGAGTGGTTGAGAGTGCTAGCCAATTGTGGGTATAGTAAGCTCTTTGTTTCCCCTGTCTGTAAAAGAAACCCCATGGTTGTTGTTCCTGGAGCCTGAGGTTTCCTGCAATTGTGTGTGCAGGTGAGAAACCACAGACAGTGACCTGTGCTTTTATCTGGCACTGTCTTTTGTTAGGCTATGGCCTTTTTTTTGGTTTTTGGCCTTTTGGGCTTTTTGGTGGCTCTCTGGTCTCAGAGTCTGGGCAGATGAGTAGCCATTCCATCCTTCCAATAGGCTTCCTGACTTAATGCCCTTTTGCCCTATCCATGCAGGTTTATGATGTCTTTCATCAAACAGCACTCCTACCTTGAGGCAGAAGCCATGGTGAACTGGAAACACAAGATTATTTTTACTCACAGAGCTTAAGAAT